TGAGATTAGCCAATTATTTTCTATAATATTGAATCAGGGTAGAGAATTAAAATTGCTCCTATTTGACATATACAATATTTAATGTATCTCATTCATTTACATTATTCAATTCGCTACATAAGAAGAATAGTTTTTAACATCTTAAAATTCCCCAAGCCAATTCATCCATAAAGAGTTATCTTTAGAATTAACATTTGCATTAAGGAATAGTTATTATCAGTACATTCCACATTTGCATTTAGGAGTAGTTGTTATATAAAACACCATTTTAATCGACATTTCAATCTAAGGCCTAATAGTGGTAGACTAGAACTTTGACTAAGGACCTCTTACCTTGCTTCCCTGAGAGATCGATAAACGGGACTCCATTAGAGCCCTGTATCACTTGAGCGATACATATAGTTGCGTTTATATCATTGTGACTATATAGAATATATAAAATTAAGCATATAAAAAAGTCGCATCAATAACCAACTTTAAGCCGTTTGAAACTAACTTTCTCAATACAAATTCCTCTCTTTCTCACCCCTTCTCTCTCTAAAATGTTCTTATGTTAGTAAAAAAAATTGGGAATGAAATCATGGTTAATAGAGTAAGATATTTATAATAAAATTTCTTTATTATTTAGTTCAAGGATATAATGATAATTATGATAAAATTAAAAAAAAAATTTGAAAAATAGTCAATAAATAAAAAATAATATGTCTAAATTTTCTGGTAAAAATAATTTGTAAAATAAATCCCAAATGGTTAAGAAAAACTCACTTTTACATGAAAGTAATAATTCTTTAAGAAAATTAATCATAACTCAATTTTAAAAATCTCTATAATATTGTGAATTTGGTTTATGGATTAAATATAAAATAAAAATAAAAAATATATATATTTGATTATGATAAGATCAATTATCATAAACAAAAATTTATCTAAATAAAAATGCTAAAAATTAGTGCATATAGCTGACCTAAAATTACTCATTCACATCATTTATCATGGCCAAATAAAAAAAAATACAAACTTACGTTTTAATTCATAAGCAATAATAAGAAATCATTGCCCATAAATGTTTTGTCACTCCTCCATTTCAATATCTTGAGGCCTTCTCCCCATGAAACTCATCACATCTATTCTCTAGATCTAAAATGGCTTCATAACCCATTATTTTAGTGATCTTGTCTATCCAATTATAGCGTATTGGGTCAGGACATTCTCTTTAAAGCATTAGCTTCATAGTGCACTATGTCCCTATTCAACCCTTGTAATATCCTTTCACAAGATATCTTCTCTCATTGGTATCTAAAAACTGCCTTCTCATCTTCAACCATGAGAAGCATTTCAATTAAGAAACATTATATTAATCATAATTTAGGATGCCATTTGCAAAGTAGCGTAACCAAGTTTCAACTCATCATTTTCATTGATGAATTTTATGAAATCATTATCCATATTTATAATCATAATTTTTTTGGTCTCCAACTAGGTAAATATTAAGTAAGTTTTTGTTTATATCGTCTTATTGAACTTATCAAATGGGACTCCATAATGTAACCAAGTCATTAAAACAAACTTAGTAATATCAAATGTTATATTATTTCCTTTAATGTTCAATGTAATATAGCCATATTTATCATCAACATCCATGTTTGGTAGCAATGAATACATGAGTGCACTAGAGAATTGCATATCATGAAAATTTTGGTGAAGTGTCGCAAAGTGGTTCTCTTCCTAAATAATGATATCATTAGTCTAAAACTGTATGACAATAATGTGACATTTAGATACATATCATTATAGTACAAGTTAGCACATCCTAAAGGAGGAGATGCTGAAAAACTAGCTTTTAGCTATATTTCACAATGATTGAATTATCTTTGATCATTACTGAACCATATTCAACAATAGTTGAGCCAAATCAGAGAAAGAGTGACCCATTTTAATGAGTCTTCGAACCGTCTTTAACCCACAATTAAGCAATATTATAGCTAACTTTAGATATTGCCAAAAACTATGTTTGCACCTTATTTGAATCTTCTTCAACCCTTCTTTAATGTTAGTTTGATCATGATCAAAGTAGATTCGAAGAAGGTTCAAAGATAACTTAAAAATGGTTTGATCATACATCGATGATAGTTTGAAAATTACTCATTTAGGGTTTCAGTCTATTTGAAGGCTCAATGAAGATTGTTTGGTCACATTTGAATTTTGAGGGAATAAGTTTCAAATAACACTTTATCATAGTTTGCCTATCATTTAGATTGTTCTATGGTGATTGAATTATGTTTTAAAGGTAAATGTGGTTAGGAGATGATACCAACAAAGTAAGTTCCCAACAAGTAAATTGAAGTCCAATGGTGCAAGGGTTTATGGCCTAGAGTGTAAAACATGTTTCAATCCTGAATATATTGGCTGGCATCCACGGTATAAGACCCCTCAAATTGGGGGTTTGAATTCTCTCTGACACAGTTAGTCTTAAGAAGATGATACTTGAATTGTTAGGCACATTAATGGTAGTTGGAGGCTCGTATAATAGCCTCTAGCCATTCTTTATTTAAAAAAAAAACAAAAAATCTATATATATAATCTTTAAAGTCGATGAATAAAGGGAGACACAAGCTTTATAAATGAAAGTAAAGGCGTTGGCTAGAAAATTATTCAAAAAGCTTCTATTATTAAAATGTTGTGGAATTGTAGATCAAAGATTGCGATTTTATTTGCTAGAAAATATGGTTATTTTGATCTAGAATATATGTTCAAGCGTATTTCATAAAAAAAACAAAAAAAAAAACAAAAATGAACATCTACATATTTACCACCCAATTCTTATGTATGTGTGTGTGTGTGTGTGTCTATATATATATATATATATATATATATATATATTTAATACCTAAACCTTACTTTTAATATTTATAACACAAATCTTTCATAACACATAAACATATTACTATTTTAACTTTTTTTAAAAAAAATATTATACCTTTTCATGCATAAAAATGGTGGCATGTATATGCATAAAATTGAAGTTTAGAGGTTAGATATATAAATACAAAAGAATTGAGTTGTATACACCTAAATCTTCCAAAAATAAATAGTAGGTATCTTTATCTAATTGTAACATTTATATCCATACCACTCAATTCTATATATTTGCCTATCTACCACCTAAATATTAATTTTTACATATAAGTCATCTTTCCTATGCATAAAATGGTGCATTTAAATTTTCTTAGTCGTAACAGTGGCATTTTTATGTAAATAAATAAGAATTGTGTGGTATAAATGCAAATCGGGGCATTTTTTAAAAAATTTAGTAGAAGAAAATCCCCTTCTTTTTCCACGAACATTTCCATCTCCCTCTCATGGTGGTAAACAGAGCCTTTAATCTACCAAACACCACCCACTGTATACCAGTTTCGTGATTCATAAATTCCTTCTCCTATATAAATGAACAATTGCTGCTACAATGTGTAGCCAACAATCTTAGTAGGTTCGAGGTGAGGAAGATCAAAAGGGCAAGTGAGAACGAGGAGTGAGATGGGCGAAGAAGAAGCAAAGAATGTGGAGATTGGGGGATCCGCCGGGGAAGCTACTACGCCGGCCCCTGCTGAGCCGGCGGAGCCTCCGAAGCATGCGGCTGAAGATAAGCCGATGATGCCGCCGTCGCCGGAGGAGAAGCCCGAAGAGGCCAAAGCCCTGGTCGTCGTTGAGAGTAAGAAAGAATTCGTCTTCTTTTCAGTTCGGTTCTTTTGTTTCGGTGTGCCCTTTTCATATGAATGGGGTATTGGAATAATTAAACTTTTTACATTCTAAACATGATTCTTTTCTTTTTTTGAATCACTTTTGCTGTCTCTGCAAATTTGTGTTTTTCTTTCCTCTAATCTCAGTGTTAAAACTGGTTTTTTTGTTGTATTAATTATAGTTTTAACAAATCAGTAATAATGTCACTAGAATTGAAGCACTTATACAAATAGAAGACCTAGCCTCAGATTCACCAGGTCAAAGGAGAAGAGCCCTTCATACAAATCACGGCCTTGAAGCTGTACTGCAAAGTAATCGTGAAAAGACAACAAAAAGATATTTGAGATGTGCAAGCATAAAATTTAGAGAAATTTAAGAGTGTCATATTAAAAAAAAATGATATTTGTGTGCAAATCAAGCTATGGTAACACTTTAGGCATCCAATTTCAAAGTCTTTCTAAAACAAATGTGAAACCAAAACAAACAAACTCAAATTTGAAGTTCATCCTTCAGTTAGGTCATCTTAACACACATATTTGCAATTTTGACTACAATGGATTTTGAGATTTGCATTATTCTCCTTCCATTATGCAAATTCATCTGGTTATTGTTAGGTTTTCCTTTAAAAATTGTGGATAAGCGTACATGTTCGAATTTTCATTCAAATTGGGTTTATAAAATGGCATGTTTTCCAAAGCAAAATATATTTGCTATTGGTTTATTTATTTTATGATATCTATATTGCTTTTGCTTCAGTGTCAATTTTTTATACAATATGCTAGGCATACATATATATATATATATATATATATATATCAAAGGGTGGTATTTTGATATTTGAGAATACCGCTCCCCATATGTGCTATTTGTCCTCGTAGTTATCGAACTCGGATCAGAGGGTCTTACGACTGACAACGCAGCTGTCTACCAACTTACCACGCAAGGATGCTTTGACTCTATATTTTTAGTTTATGATCATTATCATTATGTTTGTTATAGTGTTTTTTAATGTCTTTATCATTTTTTTAGCTACTGAAGAAGTAATGCTTGTGCCTACTGTTTAAAAATTCTTTATTTCATGTAATATATTATATTGTTATTATATCCATTGCACTTTTATTCAACGTTATTTCAGAAAAAAATGAGCTAAGCGTTCTGAAAGCCTCTTTATATTCCTTGCCTCCATAATTTCAAATTATGACTATTATTCAAATTTGTGCTTTTCTTTTTTGTGATTTTTTTTCTGTTTGTATGTTTTTTTATCAACATTAGACTCAATGCCAAGGCACTTGCTAACTGTAACTTTTTCATGCAATGCATTATATTAGAGTCTTCTTTTGTATAGCATATGCTTTTCTGTTTGGAAGGACTCGTTTCTATGGCATAAAATAGGTTTCTGTACATTTCATATTTTTCATTCCTTTTTTCTGCATTGTTTTCTTTGGTGAAAGATATATTTACCGTTTTTTATAGTTTGCAGCATATAGAACTTGCAATTTGGATGCTTTTACTTTTGCTAAAGTTTAGTAATTTCTTATTTCCCTTTTTTTTGTGTGCAAACCTTTATTAAATGATCAGTTGCTTTGCTACTTTATTAAATTAGTTAATTGGCTGTTTTACAACGAAGATGAGCATTTCTCTATAGATTTCATTTTATTCATGTCACATTATCTTCATTGTCTTACTTTTCCTCAACATTTTAAAATCAGCCATTAAATCAATTTACACTCTTTAATTAGATATTTGTTTAAAAAATTATAAGTTTGGACTCTTTAATTCTATCACTACCATATTGTTTTTGATGTTTTAATTGAGAGAAACATGCATAATAATACTCTGCTCTTTCTCCACCAACAGAGGCCATAGACCCTCCGTCAACCGGGAAAAGCTCTGCTGGTTCAGGTCCAACTGATAGAGGCAAGCATTTAAAACTTTTAGATGTAAATGTAGTGACGCGTGAGCACGCATTTCTTTCTTAAAGCATTTATACAGAACACATAATTCTTATGTATTTACATATCTCACGGCTAAACTTTCATAGTTTATGCACATAGCTTTCAAATCTTTAATATCATGTAAAAAAACTACTATTATCATTTTTTAAAAGTGAAATACAACCTTTTCATGCATAGGCATAAAGCACCAAAGCAATATGTAAATATGGAAGTATACGTGTGAGATGTGTAAACACATGAGAATTGTAAGCAACGTGTGTAAATTTCATTTTTAATATCCTTCTAGCCGAGTTATAAGGAAAATGTAACCTTCTTATTCTTTCAGATGCTGTTCTTGCACGAGTTGAAAATGAGAAGAGAATGTCACTAATCAAGGCATGGGAAGATAGCGAGAAAGTCAAAGCTGAGAACAAGTATGTAGATTGTATATAACGCAATTTAACTTGCTCTTAACTTATTTATTGGTTATTTCTTGTGCAAATTGAAAATTGGGACTGTTGTTTCTTACTACTTTAACCAAACACAACTTTGTTCTTGCTCCCACACACTCACCCACACTTGACTCCTTACAAAATGTAAATATGGATTTTACTGCTAAATTTTCACGGAATGATAACTCAAATAAAGTTGGAGCAAATAATTGTGCACATTGATTCTTTCCTTATTGCGTGCCTATGTGGTTGAATGTGTGGCATGTCATTTGTGGCTGGATATTGTTTTCCATTGGAGTGGGCGGGTTTGTCTTAGTAATTAGGACTCCACCGGATTCAACTGCTGCATAATACAAAATGTCTTAGCCTTTCTTCCTTAATCCAAATAAAAAATTTTCTTTCCAAAGCCAATCCTTGTAGAATGTTTTTTCGCATTAGCTACTTTTATATTAGTTTCCTAAATGATGCAGTATTGTAGATCTTAATGATTCTCCATTCAGATTGGTTACTAGATGCAGCAAAAGCGAATACTTTTGTCTTATGTTGTTGGGATTAAATAACTTAAATCGACATTTTTTTTTTTTATGCCTATGCACCTAAATCAAATCTCGCAATATAAACTTTTTACCATATTAAACAGAGCAATTAAGAAGATGGCTGATATCTTAGCATGGGAGAACTCGAAGAGGGCAGCAGTGGAAGCTGAACTGAAAAAAATAGAGGTAAATATCTCGTTTGCTTTGCTCAGCTTTTTTGCATGATAAAATGATGTAATAATGGTGAAGTTATAAAAAATTTTAACAAATTGACTGTTGAAGTCTGGCAGCATAATGTCAAACATGCTTAGGCCAGAAACATGACTGAGAACAACTGAGGAAAATTTTGACAAAAAATTTATCACTCAACTACAGAAAAAGCATGAGAATTGAATGCTATAAAATATTTTTCACTATATTTCTCAGGAACTAGACAATAGTAAGAATCCAATAAAGCAAAACAACAGAGTTTTAAGATGGTTGCACAGAAAAAAAAAAACACTAAACCATTTAAGTTCAGTAATTGCAACATCTAACACAACATTTAGCTTAAAGGATAATAGCAATTGCATTTTAGAGCCTCTTAAATATTAATATTCTTTAGTCTCACAAACTTACCCAGGAGTAACAAAAGCCTCAAGATTTTCTTAATATCAACATATTAAAAAAATGTAAACGCCAATGATGGTAAAATTGACTGATAGAAATGAAAATATTGAGTTGAACGTTTTTTAAAATTGAGAAGCATAAATTGATGATTGATTATATGAGAGTCACACTAAAGAATCTCTATGAAAGATAAATAAATTGAAGATAGACTAATGAGATATGAACTTGTTCAAAGAAGTGCAAAATTTGCATCCTAAGAATAGGAAAAAAAAAGATGATAAACCTAAAACAATCAAAAAGATTTGCAAAGAATAAGCTTGAACACATCTTGCAACACTCAATAGAACAAATGAAAATTTAAATTTTAGATTATATGAAGCTTGAACCTAAGAATCCTGCTTGAAAGATTATATTGCTTATAATCAAAATGAAAATGTTAGGTCAAATGTCTATATAGTTTTTTTCTGGTTTTCTTATAGACAGACTATAAAACTCGATAACTGAGCAGGAAGCCCTGGAGAAGAAGAAAGCAGAATATGCAGAAAAGATGAAGAACAGGATTGCTACAATTCACAAGGAAGCAGAAGAGAAAAGAGCCTTTGGAGAGGCCAAGCGCTTGGAAGATATTGTGAAGGTAGAAGAGATGGCTGCAAAATACCGTGCAACTGGACAAGCTCCAAAGAAGCAATTGGGATGCTTTTGACTGTGTTTGTGGAGAAATTATTAGCTGCGTAGCCCCCTCTCTCTCCTCTTATTGGTTGGTTGTAGGTGTGTGCAATGCATCTAATATTTTCTAGTGTTTGTGAGAGTTGTGATCGTTTCGTTTTTATTTTTTATTTTTTGTTTGTATGTGAGTTCCTTTTGCGGCACTTTAGTTGTGGTGTGCAAGTGTGATTGTATTTATAAGTAGTATTTTTTTTGAAAGAATAAACTGTTCTTGTGTTTTTAGTTTGTGTTAATAGGTAATGAATTCATCATTTGAATCTAATTTATGATATGTGAATTGTATTGCAGTCTCTTGAATCAATACTAATTATCATAAGTTTCCCATAAATTTAGAGTCATATGGGTGGGAATATGAGGTAGAAAAATATAAGATTATACTCCTCTGCGTTAATATGACTATTGGTATTTTAGACAATTCAGCCCATATTCTCAAATGCTGTGCATTAAGCACATATCTTAATGGTACTTGATGAAGTCTTTGAGTTAATTTTGGGCCATTGCTATTTTTGTGTCTTTGCCTCCCAATAATTTGTGTTAGAATAATACTTTAGAACTTATGAGCGACTTATGTTGATTCTATTTCATATTCTAAGGAAATTAAGAATTTTTCAATAGCTTATGGACATTGTTTAATTGAGTAAAAAATTATTTCTTAAGTTTAGTGTAAGAGATAATGCATGAATTATCTCAACGGCGACTTCATAAACTTATTTTAAAATAATTTACACTTATAGGGAGCAATTACTTGCTCAAAATAGGTAATATGGTAGGTATGGTCTTACTTTTTTGTGGAAATCAAGGTAGAGCATTTTAAACTTTTGATGGAACACTCATGACCCAACTTTGCATGAGCTAACGTAAGTGCATATATTGTGTAAGTAGGACAATGGATAAAAGTCTGAGATAAATCTCATGGGAAACAAATTTGTATTTTTAAATTGAGCCAAGCACTAGCTCACAAACCTTATCTTCTATTCAAAACAATTTTTCTTTGAAATGATGATTTGTTAATCTTTTTTTTTTTTTTTTTTGAAATTGATTAAATTTCCCAATACATGAAATCTCCTATAAATTTTTAGTTTGAATTGAATTTTGTGCTAAGGTTCAAATGATTAATAGCTATCAATCAAGAACATATATAGTTCGAAGGCTTTGTCGATAGCGTGAAAGCCTTAGCTTTCAAACCTAAGGCCATATGTCTTTGCATTAAGTAATTTAAAAGTTGGATATTATTTTCCTATTTGAATGCTAAAATTTAGAAGTAATATGCCTACTCTTCAAAACCCTAGTGATTCTTCCATGTGTAAAGAAGGACTCTCTCAATATCCCTAATCAATAACAGGTTTTAAACATTAGTATACAACAACAAAAACGACAACAACAATAAGAACAAAGTCTTCACTAAGTGGGGTCAGGTACATGAATCCTTCTATACCATTACATCCTATATGGAGTCATATTTTCATTTAATTATAACAAATTAAGGTCATTTTTACACAACATACACAAGTCTTTCTCGGTCAACCTATACTTTTCTTAACATAAGTCGAGTCTAAAGCATCTACTCTCTTAATCGGATCATCAGATGGCTGAAATTTATTGTGACCAAACCATCTAAGATGGCTCTCTAATTTTGTCCACTGCTAAAGCAACACTGGCTCTATCACGAATATATTCATTTAACATTTTTGTCTTTAAGTGCCAAGCCACTCATCCTCCTAAGCATTCTTATCTCAACAACACTGAACTTTGTTTTATGCTTCACTTTTAAAGGTCAACATCCTGCGCCATAGAACATTGCATGTCTCACCACTATCTTATATATTTTTTTTCTATTTAAGCGCTACTTTTCTATCAAATAATAGGCCTGAAACATTCCTCCACCTATAACATCCCCAACTATATCACCATCACTTTGAACAATAGACCCAAGTTATCTAAAGAGTTTACACATTTTAATGATTTGATCGCCCGTACTAACTGCTAAATGATTTATGGATGAAAACAGAAATAAGCCTTTCACTAGACATGCATTAAAACCTTAATCACAACATTATATTTACAAACCATCAATTTATAATAGAATGATAATCTAGCATAGCATGATTTTATCACAAAATACATAGAAATACTACATTCAATCATAAAATACAGTGTTTACAACTAGTTAAATAAAAGAAATTCAGAAATTATAAAACTTGGATTACACAATAATGATTCTCCTGCAATTGCTTTGTCAGAGTTATCCTTCTATTTCCTTTTGACACCTCTCTTGATCCACTAGGCTAGGATCCTTTGATTTCTCCCTGCACTCACTAATAAGGACTCTCACACACTATAACACACACTCTAGCACTCACTTTGGAGTCTAGTATATCCTCTAGCTCTATTTTACATTCCAATGCATCCCACTTAAGTCAATCCACACACTCAAACTGTCATTCCCCAAAATTTTAATTTCATCATGCATAATTGTTCCTATTAGGGTTGCACATCGTGGCTCTACAATTATGGTGCCTAAGTACTAGGCTTAGCGTTGAGGTGCTTAAGTTATGGTGCTCGAGCTCCGAGCCATCTGTCTTCTAATCTTTCATTGTAGTGTCAATGATGTTGTAGCACTCCAGATGGTGGGGAATTTGAGCACCTAGACTTTATGTGAATGGAACCTAGGCTCTTTACTCTCTATCTTTGTCTCTTTATCATATCTTAAAATAGCATTGTGACGACACATGTGGCACTCAGGCTCTGGGTTTTGCTGCTTAAGCATTAGATAATGTAGATGGCGCCTAGGCTCTGAGGCAAGGTCTTGAGGCACTCCACTACAATTTATCAAATTTTCTTGATTTTACCTTAGGGGTTGTCCTGCACATAATTATACAAAATTATGCAATATCTATAGAAGAAATACAAAATAAAGTCAATATTTTTAGCAAATTTATAATTTTTTTTCTCAGTCAACAAATCCCCCAAACTCAAACATTACTTGTAAGATAGTGATTAACAAGTTTACTTAATAGATACCAAATAATTTTACTGCAACTGAGTATAAAACAAAGTTTAATAAAAAATATTAAAAATAATGTAAATTTTAATTGACTCATAATAACCCAACTTTTCACTAATCTTGATACTTCATTCAATTTAAAGCTCTAGAACTATTTTTGGAATTGCCTAGATTCTATTTAATCAATAAAACCTAAACTTCAATTTGGACAAACACACCACACTACCTATGCACTTAGATAAGACATACATCACACAAAGATCTTCATACATAACTAACACTTAAACATTACCTTTGAAAGACCCATTTCACTAAACAAAAATTTAAATGATAATGACTGACACAAATGGAATTACCTTCCTCATTGGTTTCTAACTGGAGTGAAATGGAAGGATGAGAACTACAGAAGTTTTGTTGGTCTGTGCATGCAAACTTTGTCACCTTCCAGACTATATTACAAAGGTTCATTAAGGAAGGTGATGAATTTTAGCGAAAACATTAGGGAGAGGGAAAGGGGATAAGGAAAGGCGTGAGTCTTTCGAGCAGAGGAGAGACCGAGCACAGAGAGAAAATGAAATTTAGGCAAGAAGGATATCTAAATTAGGTCATTTGTGTCAATTTTGCGTCGAAGTTGCGTCTGCTTATTTTGATGCTAACAAGTAAAGTATTTGCGTTGAGTGTTTTTATGCAAATTTGATGCATAATCTGTCACAACTCTAAAAGAAGTTTCACCATTTTGATAATAGTTTTATCAACAAATAATTTGATGCAATTTGTACGCAAATGTCATAATTAATTTTTCACGGCTTATCGGCCGCTAATCTGACTCTAAAATTTGCGTCAAAAATATCGATCACAAATATCGGTCGCTAATTCCTGCTTCTCCTATAGTGTATCCCTGCGAAGGCAACGACAATATCATCTAAAACCTAGTGTAAGGTGAGGTCTGTCGGAGGCGATATTAAGAATAATGGGTAAGGAGTGTGCTTGAGCTATGAGAATTTCTCTATATAAAAAAATTCAAAATGCAAGCTTGATCATATTCTCCAAAGATCTCAGCAAATGATTTTTTTCTCAACTTATTTCACTAAAAGGCTAGCGAGAGAACTTTTACAAGTTTAAGTCCAAGTAGAAACCTAAGATATGATGTTTTCAACACTCATCTAAGTCGACCATCGAACATATAGCTAATTGAACACTTTAATCGTTCACTCATTGCTGACCATCCTAGCAAGCAACCACCCGTCGGTCAACCACCTTGGTCGACCAACCTCAATCGACCACTTGGGCCGACCACCTTGGTCGATCAACCTCAATCGGTCATTTGGGCCGACCATATGGAGCATCACCCGACCGACCACCTTGGTCGGGCATCCTAGCCAGGTAGCCACAATAAAGGGAGATGGCCATCCACCTTGATCAGCCACCTCTTGTTTACCGACCACTTCGATCAGCCATGAATGACTACTTGGGTCGACCACTCAATGAGACCAGCGGGAAAGCTTCAGAGAGGCAAGTCCAAGCAAGGGAGCAATCAGAATACCCCTTTCAACTCTCTTAATAGGCAAAGGCTTAATGTAATATTCTTTTTCCCCTCTCTTTCTCTATGAATAGAGGACACCTTGGCATGTAAGAGGGGTCTCTTTAGGCTCTCTCTCTCTCCCCCTCATGTAGGGAGCTTGCTCCCCTTCTCCCTCACTTATAACCAAACTATGTGTGGAATAAAAACGGTTGTTGAGCTTGGGGACCACCCCTATTCGCCCCCTGACGGGGCAACCCACTCTTTCTTCATCCCTCGGAATGCGGTTCTATTCCTTGGGCACGATCTAAAGAATATATTTGGACTCAACATATTAAAAGGTGTGGTAAATATGGAGTGTGTCGCCAACAAGACAAAAAGCTTTCCGAGTTCGAGAAATTCAAATGACAGAGAAACAAGAAATCAAAAAAAGAAATCAAAAGAAAAAGAAGAAGATGGGGACATAAAATGACAAGAAATAAAGAGAAAAGGCAAACTTCAAAAAGCGAAAAGGTGACAAGATAAAAATAAATGAGATGAAAAAAGTAAAAGGACAAAATCAAAAAGAGGGAAGGATTCCCCTCTTACTCTAAAGGCTATAAGGTTAAAATTAAGAAAGAGATAAGTACCTACTCTCTCCACTTCATTTACTTATTGTTCATTAAGAAAGAAAGAGAAA